ATTCCACTGAGAGCCTCCCACCTATCCTCAGTGTTGGCAAATATTTTTCAGTTGAAAAAGTATTCAGTTTTTTGAAAGAGTCAAATGACATTTATAGCAAAGTCTAAGGAACAAAGTTGATAATCACGTGGAGTCCAGAAGAGTGTAATGACTAGGTACCAAGACACTTCCCATGCATCACGTAAGTGCCTTTTCAAGCTCTTAAACATATAATCTCAAGGAATAAAGTTGGAAATGTAATTGTTTTATAAACAATATTACATACATTTCTAAAGCATAACTTTCTGTCTAAAAGGAATCTCAGCAAAGCATCCCTGCCATAAGCATGTCCATCCCTCAGGTGACTACCTTGGAAGGGACCCCACTGTGCTGTAAGCTCCTATTTGTTAAAGGGGCAGTGCCCTCACTCTGACACACACCACAGGGGCTGGAGCCTGAGCTCTTAGGCGGAATTGCTTAGCTCCACATGCAGCTCTGTCACTAAGTGGGTCCTCAGCAAGTTCTAAACCTCCCTGGGCCTCACTTTCCTATCTGTAAAGTGGGGAGAGAGGATTTTAGTACTTCATAAAGTTGTCATGAAGTCTAAATAAGGCAACAGCTGTTAAGTGCTTTACAAAGTGACTTGAGCATAACATAATTACACCATTTCTAAAGGTGCACAATTTTCACGTTTTACTTGGAATGAGGATGGGATGCATCTTACAAATAATGTAATTTTTAGAATGCATTTTATCACTGTTTAGCAACATCTTTTTTAATTTAGTGGTACTGAAGATAGTGGTGTGCCTTTGAGCAGATGACACTTCAGATACCAGTCACTCATAGTGATGAGAACTCCAGTATCACTGAGTGTCACTAGCATTGTCATCACTGATGCCTTCACCATCATCTTGGTCCTAACCAGGGCAGTGGTGTTTGATTGGTTGGCAGTGGTCACCTGGAGTATATATCAAATCTCAATTTAATCTCTTTGTTTTCATTGATGCATTCTTAGAGAAGATGTAGAGAGTTCTTTTCCACATGTTTCCTATTAAGAGAATGCAAAGTATTCATGGAGTTAATTCTTTCAGGGTCTACATTAGTCTCTGCACCATACTTGGCAAACCACTAAAACCTTCTTCAATGCAAATCAGTCCCTTGAAATAGAGTGGAGACAAATTCTTAATTTTCTCTATTGATGCATTTCCCTAAATCCTTTTAAAGAAGTGCTTTTTCATAGGGAGCAGAGCTAAGTGACCATTGTACCACTTAAGATTTACTGGTTTGCAGTCTTCTCTGAGGCAGAAAAGCAGTAGTTTATTGATCAGTAAAAGAATGGATCGTGGCCAAGCCTTTGCTGGTTTAGACAATGCACTGACATGAGAATCCACATATCATTAGAAAGACTGAGTTCTCACACTTTCAGGCCACCTGTCAGGCATGCACAATAACTGGGGAACATGAGTACACAATATAAAATGGTTGTTTTTGCACAGACACTGCCAGGATCCACACCCAGTGACAAGCATGTCTTGTTGTTTTACCAGTGATATGCTTGTAGTTCCTAATTTTAGGTTTCTTCCTCATTTTGATTTTATTGTTCAATTTGGGAGAGGGTGGGACAGACCAAATTGGATCTGAGATAAAGATCTTCTGCCAGGTGAAAGCAGTTCAGTAACAGGAGAGGACCTTGGACCAAAGTTTATGAAGCTTGACTGGAAGATTCTGGGCACATCTCCATCCAAATACCTTGACACATACCTCACCCACCCACCGGTAACACCTGCAGCTTGTTTCTTCTTGCCTTCTGTTTGCCCTCAAGAGTTTAAATGGTGGTATTTACAAGCCATTATGAAGCAAATGTACAGAAATAAAGGGGTAGAAAGGTGCTAGTAAAGGTCTTTGCTTAACAAATTTTGTTGTTGGCTTTTAAAAAGATAATTGCTGAGTAATTCTAGAAGCTGGGCTCCTTTCCTTTGCCCCTTCATCTCCCCACTCCTCCTTCAGTCTTCCTGATCCCCACCTTTTTTTTTTAACAAATCTACATATTTGTCAGACATATATAGTCATTCCTAAAAATAATGCTCACTGTCCCCCTAAAGCCTGCCTGTTGATCAGCCAGCAATGTCTGTGCACAGAGGTCATTGCTGTCCACACTCAATGCTGTGGGCCTGAACCAGCTTCTGTTCAGAGAGAGATTAGAGCCCAGAAACTGGGCACCAACAGGGAGCTTAGTGGCCTAGGTGGAAGGCTGAGCATTCCCTAAATCCTTTTAAAGAAGTGCTTTTTCATAGGGAGCAGAGCTAAGTGACCATTGTACCACTTAAGATTTACTGGTTTGCAGTCTTCTCTGAGGCAGAAAAGCAGTAGTTTATTGATCAGTAACAGAATGGATCGTGGCCAAGCCTTTGCTGGTTTAGACAATGCACTGACATGAGAATCCACATATCATTAGAAAGACTGAGTTCTCACACTTTCAGGCCACCTGTCAGGCATGCACAATAACTGGGGAACATGAGTACACAATATAAAATGGTTGTTTTTGCACAGACACTGCCAGGATCCACACCCAGTGACAAGCATGTCTTGTTGTTTTACCAGTGATATGCTTGTAGTTCCTAATTTTAGGTTTCTTCCTCATTTTGTTTTTATTGTTCAATTTGGGAGAGGGTGGGACAGACCAAATTGGATCTGAGATAAAGATCTTCTGCCAGGTGAAAGCAGTTCAGTAACAGGAGAGGACCTTGGACCAAAGTTTATGAAGCTTGACTGGAAGATTCTGGGCACATCTCCATCCAAATACCTTGACACATACCTCACCCACCCACCGGTAACACCTGCAGCTTGTTTCTTCTTGCCTTCTGTTTGCCCTCAAGAGTTTAAATGGTGGTATTTACAAGCCATTATGAAGCAAATGTACAGAAATAAAGGGGTAGAAAGGTGCTAGTAAAGGTCTTTGCTTAACAAATTTTGTTGTTGGCTTTTAAAAAGATAATTGCTGAGTAATTCTAGAAGCTGGGCTCCTTTCCTTTGCCCCTTCATCTCCCCACTCCTCCTTCAGTCTTCCTGATCCCCACCTTTTTTTTTTTAACAAATCTACATATTTGTCAGACATATATAGTCATTCCTAAAAATAATGCTCACTGTCCCCCTAAAGCCTGCCTGTTGATCAGCCAGCAATGTCTGTGCACAGAGGTCATTGCTGTCCACACTCAATGCTGTGGGCCTGAACCAGCTTCTGTTCAGAGAGAGATTAGAGCCCAGAAACTGGGCACCAACAGGGAGCTTAGTGGCCTAGGTGGAAGGCTGAGCAGCCAGTCTCTGCGGGTGAGCTCACCGGTAGTCCCCAGAGCAGGGAAATGCCGTGCAAAGGAGCGCGCCTGCCAGTAGCAGTCTGTGAAACACCCCGTCCTTCACCGTTTGCACAGAGGTGCTTCCACTGTAATTCCCTTTGAACTGCAGTGCAAATCCATTCAAACAGTGAAGGAAATTTCAGTAGCTCTGTACCAAGAAATTCTCACCTTGTGTGATCAAAGCAGTCAGCCATTTCCTCTTCCTTCCTTTTTATTTACTTATATTTCTGACCTCTTACAATCTCCATGTCTGTGGTCTGAGTTTCCTTTTGCATAACAGTTTTTAAATGCTTTTTTCTTTCTCCAATGCACTTTAAAGTAAATAAAGCCAGAGTTGACAGGAAGTACCTAATGTTTCTTTTTTTAATAATTATTATTACGAAAGTAATAAAGGAGCTAAAATCATCCATAATTACATCACCTAACAGCAACCACAATCAACATTTTGGTGTATTTACTTCTAATTGTTTTAAATAAATGTGTAAATATGTGCACATATTTCTAACAAATTCAGTTTATGATAGAACACAGTTTTTTAATCAATGTACTTTGAGTATTTTATTCAATGATTCAGTATTAACTTACCTAACTGTGCAAATTAATTTTGTAAAATAATTTAGCTACCTATGATTAACAGATCTTAAATGACTTCAGTGGCTGTATTAGAATCCAGTATGTAGGGATATGTTATTATTTTCACATTCTCCTGTTGTTGTGAGACCATGTGGGTTTCTGAATTAACACTTTAATTCTCAGCTTGGAAACTGTTAAGCTCAAATTCTTTAGGTTTTGTGAGTCTGCCATTAGTATTTGGGCACACTGGAAGGGGACTGCTTCTATCTGCGCCAGTATTTGCTTCCCTTGCCAGCATTTTTCAAAAGGCTCATTCTGAAAAAGCAAAGTTTGGAGCAGTGCTCTTTTTCTGTTTTTGTTTTTTGTTTTTTGTTTGTGTTAAATTTTGTGACTATAATAGATCTTGTAGCAATCTCAGTTCACGTGTAAGTAGAGAATCAATATAAAATAAGAAGTGTGCTGCCCAACACAAATCCTAATGTTTCAAAACTATGTGCTGTGCTATGTCACTTGAAGTGCATCAAACAAGACAATGGGAGCTCCTGAGGGTTTTTTTTTAAGAGGGGGACTGACTCGATCAATTTATGTTTTAGAAGACTGGGTAAGTGAAAGACTTGATATATTTCAAAAAGTTCTCATGAATTCAGTGTTCTAAAAAATGTGAATATTTGGTGCAGCAACTGCTTTGAAATTGCATTCAAGTAAATGAAACTGTTGAACCAACATTTGGAAAGGAAGATAACTTTAAAAACCAAAAATAGTGTGGGAAGTGCTACAGAATGATACACATGTGCAGATCATTTGCATTTGAGGGCTAACTTCCTAAAGAAATTACATTGCTGGAGAACCAGTGTTAGCCCCCATGGAAGTGTTCTGTCTAGAGCCCGGCTTGTTATGTCCAGGGGTGCATCTGGCTGGTCATCTCTGAACACCTCGTGGCCAGATTCAGGGCAGCCACCACTTTGATCCAGAGGCTGTCTCCCTTATTCTGTTATGCTCTCCTCATTAACAGTCATCTTTGTAATTAGAAGTCAAAGGTTTAGTGTACATATTTTTAAACGATGCATTTTGATGGAGCTCTCTTTACTGTTGCAGGTTGAATGCATTTGGGAACTCGATGCATAAAATTTGCATGACTTCCCAAACCTTTCTGGATCTGTCATTGGGTTCAAGCCAGCATGGCTCACATCACAAAGGTTAACGGCTGTGCCTCAGGTAACTGTGCTCTGGAGTGTGTGCATGTGCATGTGTGTGTGTAAGTGTATGTCTTTGTGCAAACTGATTTCTTATTTTTAAAAAAATGTTTAGACAAAGGCATGTTGCTTAGATAACTGGGATTTCAAAGCAATTTTCTGTCTAAGTTGTGTTTTGTTTTTTCATCTCTGAGAGGATTTGCTTTTATCATTGGTCTTTATATACAGAAGTTGGTTAGGTAAATTATCACCCACATCAGTTCCATTGGAGTGTTGAAAGATGAACGTGAAATCCTGAAAGCCGATCCAAGTATCATGTGTATACTCCTCTTGCACTTCTTTATGAAGAATCGAATGATGGGAGAGGACATGAGTTTGGATGCTGAAAAACAATTCGTAGCACCTACTCCCAAGCAGCTCTGTTTGCAACATGAGGGATGAAAAGGGCATTTTCTCTAAAGAGAGGAATATGAAGCAAGCCATATTATGAACCACAAAGACTTGTATTCTCAGTCTTAGTTTGGATATATTAGAGACCTATATAGTTTGCACATCTAGTCCAAGATTTGGAAGAAATTTATAGAACAAATACAGAGAAAAGCCTCATAAGAGACAGTATATGGAAAGATATGACCGCCTCTTCAAAACAGTACACCAGGTGTTCCTCCCTCTTGTGCATTACCAGGATTCTGCCAGAGAGGCCAGAGGGCTGAGGCCCTGAGATGCATGTACAGGAGCAGTAATTGTGTATGTGGCCATTCTTACGGAGCACCTGAGTCCCTCTGGCTCTGAGCACTGGAGGAGGGAATAGAGTGAGGAGACCTGCATTCGGGTCCCACATCCAGCGCTATCCATGAAGTATGAGGCAGGACTATTTCTCCATTTGTAAAACATCAGTAAATATATCCACCTGCAGGGTTTGAACCAATGAAAGCACCGGAAACATACTTACAAGTGCTATGTAAGCTGTAGAGCACTTTTAAATACCAGGGCAGGAGGAAGAGACCTCTGAGTAGACATATACAACACATACACATACATGATTTTCAGTTCCAGCGACCCCAGCTGCAAGCAGCCCCTCTGGCGAGAACGCCATAGCTTGCCCCACACCAAACCCAGGTGAAGTCAACTGTTTCATCTGGAACAACTGATCTTCCTCTGTCCATTCATTTGCTTGTCATTTCTGTCACCCAGCTTCTTGGGACTTTCATAGTTTATGTTCAAGACTGCTGTCAGCGAATGACATTATCTCATGTTTAAGGGACACTGTACCGTGGTGCCCAGGAGGCCTTGCCTGCTCTCCCACACAGGCTGCTCACAGTGCTTCTGGGAGATTGTGCTCTTGTCAGCGTCACCGCCTCTGCCACCCCCTGGGACATTGCAGAGAAGGAGTGACTTCCCTAAGGACAGTACGAAACATCAGGGTTGTTTCTTTAGTGAAACACCTGATGAGAGAAGAGCTGGAAAGACTGTGCAGTTTCTTGAGTGTTGTGGGTTGGGTGGTTTCAGCCCCTGTGATGCCGTGATCTCCCTTCCCCTCCTGCCCTCACTCAGAGGGAGGGGGACCTGGACTTACCGGGCGTCAGGGCCTCAGCCCTCTGGCGTCTCTGGCAGAATCCTGTCTTCAAAGATTTAGATACCTACCCCATTTGCCCCTAATGCATTTTCCAGCTTGACCTGGCCTGATGTGTCCCTTTTCTCTGTGTCCCTAAAGTCTGATAACCCATGTGCAACCTCTGTTCCTCTCCCTACTGTCCTGCCTAACAGATCCAGGCATTGAGCTTGGAAGCAAAGGAAAGCTCTCTGGTTTGTGATTTCTGGAGTATCAGGGTATGAATTCTTACTGCAGACAGGTATCTGGACTAGGTAAGGGAGAGTTTTCATTTATTCTGGTCACATAACCTCTGTTAGACTGTAAGCAAATCTGATTAGCAAATCAGTCATGCACAATTAGTTTAATTTTATGTGTGTGTAAGTGTGTATATATATTATATACATGTGTATATTTGTATACACACTATACACACATGTACACACAGGTACATATATGTATATACTATATATACATGTGTGTACATATAATGCTCATTGTAGAAGATTTTAAAATATAGAAGTTTAGTATTGTCTAAAAAACATAAAACAAGAACACCAAAAATAGCTGTTTTGCTCATTTTCCATATAGTCTTTAAATTTATGTATTTCTCATAATTGGGATGATACTTATAAAAATCATTATTTTAAATCATTTTCTTTTCCCACTTGTATTACAAAAGAAGTACCTGCCTTTTTTTTGGAGCCAAACTCAATGCAAAAGTGTATGCTGGTTATACATATACTATTTTTAAATATAATTTACCTAAGAACATTTAAAGATGGGATAAAGAGGGCTTTATGGCAACTACTAAGGGCTGGTTACTGATCTTTCCCATTAGAAAAAGATAAATAGTTGAGTAGTTTAGTAGAAGTCTTAAATGTGGAGTAACTTACATGTTTTCTTATTTTTCTAAAGAAAAAGTACAATGTTCAGTATGTTTTCTTAAACTATACTTCCCCTAAGTGTGTTATGCCTAAAAGGGATGCCCTGCCCTAAAAAAATCACTGCTTTGAGCTCCATAGAACAGGAGAAATACTGTGTGTAGTGGTCAGTGCATTGACAAAAGAAAACTTTTCATGGGCTTAGGAATAAAACAGAAGCAAAGAAGATAGCTGGGAAAAGCTCCATTTGGCCAAACTGTGCCCTTGGCTGCAAAACACATCTGAGGACTGATTACCCCACATTCACATCCCTGGTTAGAGTTTAAACTGGATAAGAGGCCATTCACAAGGCCCTTTATACTCTGACTCCCCAATGAGTCCCTTCAGTCAGATTGGATAAAAGGTACTGATTTGAAAAGAAGAGCACAAAATTAATGATGTAATTTGTAAAAGTTATTATGATACATTTCAGACATGTGTAATGAGTAAAGTTTATATAATAAGCACCTATGTACATATCACCTAGCGTAAGAAATAAACTTTACTAGTACATGAAAATAATATTGAGTGCCTACAATATACCAGGTGTTTTTCTGGGCCCTGAGGATACAGCAATGAACAAAGCAAGCAAAATCCCCCACCTGCAAGGAGTGTACATTCCGGTGGAAGTTGAGGTCTCCTGTGGACAGAGTATCCAGATAAAATTCAGGACATACTTATACTAAAAATTATTTGTTGTTTATCTGAAATTCAAATTTTACTGGGTGTCCTCTATTTTTATTTGCTAAGCCTGGCCACCTTACCAGCGTACCCCTTCCAGATTGCATCTTCTTCTTCACTGCTGATATCAATCATTTGTCACAGTGTGGTCTGTTTTTCCCCAGAGCCTTCATCCAGTTTTGTTTCCATTAATTTAAAACATTTTATTATGGTATAACAAAAGGTACCCTAATGTCATTTCTAATCTGATGGGGAAGGATCACTCCAAATTGCTTGGGACTGTTCCCTTTTCTTATAGCTAACTAGGAGGTGAATGAAGGTCATTGGTTGGGAAGATTGCTGCTGTATTTCCATAGTTTAGGGATAGGACAGCCTACTTTTTCCCAAATTTCCAGTTGATGTTTGTAAACTGGATGCACTGACGGTACCCTTCTGAATGCTAATTAGTGCTGTGAAACTTTAATTAGAGGTTAGAATTTCTTTAGAAGCCAAATAACAAGTGGCTTCCTTGTCAGATGAAAATAATAATACCTGTTCTACCTTCTTCACAGGATTGCTGAAAGGAAAAAATAAAACAGTAGCCCTAAAAACACTTTTCAAGGTGTAAAGCGTGGGTCAGATGTCAGGGGAAATCCCTGTCCTTGTTCTGCTCTGTCTTGAGCGCCTGATCTAGCAAACGGCTGTTCAGCCATTGTGCTTGGCCATCAGATGCTTTGAATTTGGGGAAGAACTACGTTATTGTCCTGCACCTATCAGTTAAACAAATAGATGGGCATTATCAACTGACCTTATTTTTTAATTTATATAACATTTAATTGTGACTCTGTAGAACTTCATATAATTTTTTGCACATGGAGTGACTTTATATGCCTGCCATCACCATCTTTGTTTTTGCTAATACTTGCCTTTGCAAGTTGATAGTTTTTTCCCCCTCTTGCTGTTTCTCTTTCGCAGCCTAAATATATATATATTTTTCCTGACAAATATATATTTACTTAAGGTACTTACTGAGCTACATTAAAAATTTGGTTGTCATTTTAAATTAGCCTAATACAGTTCATAGAATATTGTTACCCTGGTCAGTTACTTGGCTCCAGGCTTTGTCTCCATGTTGATCTTAAATGAGGTACAAAGGCCACTGATAAGACCCGGTCGATCAGACAGAGGCAGAGTCTCATGGCCAAGCAGCTAGAATGCTGCAGCGCAGAGCAGCCCAGTCCCGGTTGGGTAAATATTTTTTCTGGGCAGGGGCAGTTCTCAAACAGAACTCTGAGCCCACTGTAGTGAACCTGACAGCAGGACTGTGTGCCGCTTGTCAGTTACAGGGCAAGACCTATTTGCACTGACTGGTCTGGCTGGAACCAACCCGGTGTTTTCTGAGACCATCTGTACAGAGAGTCAGAGCACAGTAGAGTTGGTGAGTCTGAGACCTGCCTGCAATAGCGTTACTCCGAAGGCAGAGGGTTAGCTGCTTAGAAACTGGGGTTCTTTAATTTGGGGGCATCCTCCATGACCTTCCAGGATGTCCCGATTCAGTCTGCAAGAGAATTAAGTGTGTGTTCCTCTTTGTGCTTTGCATTCTCTCAGAAGTGGTGTGTTCAGTGTTAATCAGCAAAGTTGCTAAGAGGGTAAAACAAAGCTGCCTAACATAAAAACATAGGTAAGAGCTAGAAGGAGTCTTTTTGATTTTGCCTGTCCAACCTCCTTTCCCTGTTTTCAGATGACAGAATACAACGTGCCCAGCTCACACAGTTGGTTAGTGGCTAAGCCAGAAGTTAAATATGGAGAGTGTTTTTCCTTTGTTCAAGACATTCTGTTGACATATTA